CCCCCCCCCCTTTTAGGATCTCTGCTTGGCTACCTGTGCTTCCGGGCGCGGATGCCAGAGCCGAGGGAATGCGCGAACGGACTCGAACCGTGTAAGAGTGCCCAGTGTGCATCCGTGGACGTGGACGAGCCTGCTCAGCCCGCGGTGCAAGCGCGGGGACCGGAACCCGAGCCCATGCTATACTGGAGCGACCTCCAAAACAAATTAGCGGAGAAACTTGACGGCATAAGTTTCCAACCTAAAATCAGGTAACCCTCTGCAAAAAGCCCCTCAGAGCTCCGGTGTAAGAAAGTGTTGGGTTTTTTGGTTGCGATTGCAAGTGGTGGCTGACCACGTGTGGTCCTCTGTTTCCAGGAGGGTCTCTGCTGCTTCCCATGAGGCTGGCACGGCTGCCGATGAAGATCTGGCCAACTACGTCTACAGCGAGTTTGGCAGCTATAATCTGGACAGAGTCTGGAAGAATGAGCACTACGTCAAGGTGCAGGTCCCCGGAAGGTAGGCGCGGCCCCTCGTCTTGGGCCCTCCCGAACACACGTTTCCTCTTGAGTACTTCACTTGGGTGAAACTTCTGTGGAATGAGGACCCCACAACTTAGTTAAGCAGTCTTGCAGGAACTGTTCTACATGGAGAACGGGCTCTGCAAAGTCCGCTTTTCAGGGAAACGTGGAGCCGGTTTCTTTGTTTCCCTAAAATCCCAGTTCCTTCATTCCAAAGGCTGGGTGTGCTAGGTGCTTCCTCTAGGCTGGGGCCGGTGGCGCTTTGGTCACATAAGCATCGGACACCAGCATATCAAGCAAGAACTAGAGCAGGGGTGTCGAACTCATTTGTCACAAGGGCCACGAGACCTTGTTGGGCCAGGCCACGTGTGTCATAAAATGTAATGCCAGGTAGCGGAGATATAAACTTTTATAAAGGACACAAACACAATGGGGTTTTTTTTAACTTAAAATAAAAACAGGCTTAAAACATTAGCAGTCTTGCAATATTTTGTTTATTTAACAGTGTCTGATAACTGACACTTCTTGCTCCGAATGATTGCATCAAAACGTCTGTGCTGTTGCAATGTCGAGTGTGCTGTTCAGGTGTGTCTCTGTAAGCTACAAACCTAGGATGAGGCAGCAGAACTGGAAGAAGAAGCAGAAGACAGCCAGTTCCACTGCAGGCCTGAGAGAAGCCCTCCGGGGGCCTGATCTGGCCCCCGGGCCGCATGTTTGACACCCCTGAACTAGAGAGATCTCCAAGACCTGTGATCAGCTACGCAGTGTCATGTGGGAGGCCACTTGATCCTCTTTCCATACAGCAAGCTTTCCCGGGGCTGTTTAAAGCCGTATGCATTGACGCCAGCGTCTTTTCCCTTTAGCTCTCCAAATGTAATTTCGCTGGACATTCGTGGTGGGAGTAGAGGAACGCTCGACGCGTCAAAGGCTTACGTGGCGTACAGCGGAACCGGGGATGTTACTGTAAGTTGGCTCGGCGTGTCCGGACCGGCCAAGCGGTGCTGTCAGATGCTAACGCGGCAGCCAGTGTCACATCTTAAGCTTGCTTTGGCCATCAGGGTAGGGACAAGCTTTGGCGAAGAAGGAGACAAAGCATTCGACTCCTTGATTCGGGGTGTGAAGCTTTGCCTTCACCCTGGAACCATCTGCAACCATCCGAATGGGCGGGCGGGCTTTGTACCGACAGTGGTCCTCCTCCGCTTCTCTCACACCACTGAGGTTTGGGTCCTGTCCAGAAGGATGTGAAGAATGAATGTCAGCGCTCTTCACATAGTCCCGAGGGCTCAGTCGAGATCCTGCCGTACTTCCTCTCCCAGGGCAAGCCAGTTTACGCCAATTTCGGCCGCAGCCAAGACTTCGACACCCTGAGGGGGAAGCAGATTCCCGTCAACGGGACCCTGGTCCTGGTCAGAGCCGGAATGATTCCGTTTGCCGAGAAGGTAAGCCTCACCCGCCGCGCGTCAGAAGTGCCTGGGGGTTGAAAATGCCACTTTGGCGACAGCGTGACCATTGCAGGGGGTGAGCAGGAAGCGAAATGGGAAAGCCCTCTCTCCTGAATCACCAAGACAGCTCCTGGAAGGCCCCGCTTCAACACCCCCTTAGGCTTGGGCTCTGGACTGCTCCTTGGAAAACAGAGCTAGAAGAACATGGGGCGTTTTCGTGACTTCAGACTTTGTGAGCCGGCAGGCACCTTTGGGACTCTGAAACGGGGGTGGTGGGTGTGGCCACAAAATGGCCGCCGAGCAACGGCTGCCGCTGCTTCCCTTCAGTGTGGTGGCAGCCGGAGCTGGAGCGAGGTTTTTAAAAATCCGCACAGCCCATCAAATCTCCACGGGCGAGTCAGAAGCCTTGCTGAGCAAAAGCCAGTTTGGTGTTGTGGTTAAGTGTGCAGACTCTAATCCGGGAGAACCGGGTTTGATTCCCCACTCCTCCACTTGCAGCTGCTGGTGTAACCTTGGGCCAGTCACAAGTTCTCCCAGAGCTGTTCTCTCAAGAGCAGTCCTCGAGAGAGCCCTCTCAGCCCCACCTCCCTCACAGGGGGTCTGTTGCGGGGAGGGGAAAGGAAAGGAGTTTGTAAGCTGCTCCGAGACACCTTTGGGTAGTGAAGGGCGGGGTATAAATCCAATCTCTTCTTCTTCTAATCTGGGAGAACTGTGTTTGATTCCCCACTCCTCCACTTGCAACTGCTGGATGACCTTGGGCAAGCTGTAGTTCTGTCAGAACTTTCTCTCTCAGCTCCTCCTCCCTCACAGGGGGTCTATTGTGGGGAGGGGAAGGGAAAGGAGTTTGTAAGCTGCTCTGAGACTCCAAGTGAAGGGTGGGGGGGGGTGAATCCAATCTCCTCTTCTTCCATCCCACTTTCTGAAAACCCTTGGCGTGGGCAACAAAATAGGTGTCGATGGGGAGCCCCTGGTCTAGACAGCCCCTCACGCCCCTTCCAGACCCTTCTCTGCCATCTTCATGCAGGGGGTCCCCTTCAGTATCAAGAACATGCCACAGTTCCATAGAATGAAGTCCACGCGTGTCCTGTGTTGTGCTCATGACCAATGTTCTCTCTAAGCTGTGGAGTCCTGTGAGCAAAAATTCTGCTTGGTGAGCTCCTGGCATTAAAGTTGTGAGCGAGCGATTTGGCTGCTGTGTAAGTTAGTTTGCTCTGGAGCTGAGACAAAAATGTGTGAGCCGGAGGCTTAAAAAAACTGAGCTGGCTCGCACTAACTCAGCTTAGAGGGAACACTGCTCTGGAGCCCTCCTTCCTGAGCTAAGGCAAAAAGGTGTGAGCTGGAGGCTAAAAAACTGTGAGCTAGCTCACACTAACTCAGCTTAGAGGGAACGCTGCTCACAATCTCTCCCTGTCCCTTCACGCAACTCTCTTCCGTAGCACCAGATCCCCCCACTGTGAAACGGGGTCTTCCTAATTCCCACTGTCAGTGTTAGACCTCCAGTTCCTCCCTGATGTTTTTGTTGGGGGAGGGGGTCCCACATCACCCAAGAGAAACATTTTGGGGAGAACACTCGAGGGGAAAGGGGCTGGGAAGACCTGTTTTGCTATTGCAGGGCTCCCCAACATGGTGCCCGTGGGCGGTATGGATCCCGCCCAGGGTTTTTTTGCCCAGTCAGGCTTCTGATTGGCTGTGCAAGTTTTTAAAAAGCATTGCTTGGGCGGCGGCGGCTGCTGCCACAGCACGCAAATCTTCCCTGAAGGTCTCGGAGGAAGCGGCCTTTGCGTGACCGGCTCCACCTCCTGCAGCAGCCATTTCCTGGCTGAGCCCAACGAGCGGTGTCAGAATTCCAGAGGTGCCCACGGGGTCAGAAAAGTTGGGGAAACCCTGTACTTTTGATTAGTAGGGGTTACCCTGGATAGCTTTTGGACGGGTGTCTTCTGCTGATTTCAGACTTTTCTGCTTCTGGAAAAGGTCTGTGCTGCTATTCTTAATAATGAAAGCTAGCTATAACAGGCAAGCTGCAGCTTGGTTGTCTAGAACAGAAGGGGGGAAATAAGATCTCCCAGCAGTTGGTGGAACACAATGATGATAACATGCTGTTCTCATTGAATGCCAGATTATTTACAAAGAGTACAGGGGAATTCAGTTGGAATGGCTAGTCCTAGTCTGTCCCTGTGTGCCAGTGGCGGTCCTTTGGCTCTCGGTTTCTGGTTGCTACCGTGCATGAGGTTGGCACCAGTGTTCCCTCTAAGCTGAGTTAGTGCGAGCTAGCTCACAGTTCTTTAGCCTCCGGCTCACACATTTTTGTCTTAGCTCAGGAAGGATAGCTCCAGAGCAAACTAACTTATGCAGTAGCCAAATCACCTGCTCACAACTTTAATGTCTGTAGCTCAGAAAGTAGAATTTTTGCTCACAGGACACCACAGCTTAGAGGGAGCATTGGTTGGCACTTACCATCAGTATTCCCTCTAAGCTGAGGTAGTGTGCACTAGCTCACAGTTTCCTAGCCGGTAGCTCACACACACACTCCGGAAGGATGACTCCAGAGCAAACTAGTTTATGCAACAGCCAAATTGCTCGCTCACAACTTTAATGCCAGTAGCTCACTAAGCAGAATTTTTGCTCACAAGACTCCACAGCTTAGAGGGAGCATTGCCTATCATGCCCAATTCCTTGCCAGGAGGGGCTCTCCCCTTGTGAAATGGGCTTCCTAAGGAGGGGGAGGGGGACACATGATCCCTGGACCATTTTTAAGAACGTTTTCGTGAGGTTTGAGCTGTAGCCATTGTCTTGAGGGATGGGTTAATGGGGCTTAATTTTTTAAAAAATGGTTTTGATTCAGAATTGTGAGTGGCCTTGAGCCGCACAGGAAAAGCGGATGATAAATATTAATTATTAAAAGAAAATATGACTCATTCCTAAAAAGGATTAATTGGAAAATCACTCCTGTACTGCAGAATGTTACATCTGACAGCCCTTTTTTGGGGGAGGGTATACTTTTTTGACATGGATGCTCTGGCTTCCCTTTCGATTGCACAGTTCTTTGCCCGGTTTCAGGTCTTTGCTAGATTCAAGTCTAATAGCACCTTAGAGGTCAACAAGACTTTCCAGGTATAAACGTTTGAGAGCCAAAGCGCCTTTTGTCAAGGCATCTGACGAAATTGTGGTTAACTTAAGATCATAAGAGAAGCCAGTGTTGGATCAGGCCAATGACCCACCCAGTCCAATACTCTGTCACACAGTGGCCAAAAATACCAGGTGCCATCAGGAGGTCCAGAGACACTAGAAGCTCTCTTCCACTGTTGCTCCCCCCTCCCCCAAGCACCAAGAATGCAGAGCATCACTTGCCCCAGCCTGTGAGTTCCTGTCTGTACCTTGTGGCTCATAGCCACTGATGGATCTCTGCTCCAGATGTTTATCCAATTCCCTCTTGAAGCTGTCCATGCTTGTAGCCTCCACCACTTCCTGTGACAGTGAATTCCAGGTATTAATCACCCTTTGGGGGAAGAAGTACTTCCTTTTATCCGTTCTAACCCGACCGCTCAGCAATTTCATGGAGTGCCCACGAGTTCTTGTATTGTGAGAAAGGGAGAAAAGTACTTCTTTCTCTACCTGCTCTATCCCATGCATAGTCTTATAAACTTCGATCATGTCACCCCTCAGCCGTCGTTTCTCCAAGGTAAAGAGCCCCATGCACTTGAACCTTTCTTCACAGGGAAAGTGTTCCAACCCTTTGATCATTTTAGTTGCCCTTTTCTGCACTTTTCCCAATGCTGTAATATCCTTTCTGAGGTGTGGTGACCCGAACTGCACACAGTATTCCAAATGAGGTTGCACCATTGATGTATACTGGCTGATCTGTTTTCAATCCCCTTCCTAATAATCCCCAGCATAGCGTTGGCCTTTTTTATTGCAGTCGCACACGGTCTCGACATTTTCATTGCTCTGCAGGGTGCTACTGGGCTTGGGATCCATGTGTCCTACCGCAGGCCAGCACGGCTCTCCCCTGAAACAATCCATGCAGACCTCGTCATGGGAGGCCTCATCCTTCCTCTCACGATTCTCCTAGAGTTTTGGCTGTGGTTCTGTATTACAAAGAGCAATATAGAAATATAGCCATAACCTCAAAAGTTTGGTCCACAGTAGGTGCTGTCCTCTCTGTTAAGCCACGTATTATATATTCAGCAGGTGCTTGTCTTTCAACTTACAAAAAAACCCCACAACCCCTACCTGTCAAGCGTGGGGGCAATTTAAGGGCCCATGGAACAGAATTTCCAACCAGTTGTCCAAACATCTGTTCTAGGTGGCCAACGCCCAGAAGCTTGGTGCTGTCGGAGTCTTGATATTCCCTTCCCCGGCCGACTACCCCGGCCTCAGAGAAGATGTGGCGCAGTTTGGCCATGTGAGTGTCTGATATCTCTCTCTCTCTCTCCTGGGTGAATGCAGGGGGTGGTTCTGCCTCGCCCTGCAAGATGGGTTTTCTGTGCCAGGCATGCAGAAGAATCAGAAAGCCAAGCTTATGAGCTTCCACCTGTGTTGAAGGTGCCAGCTCAATGGTGGGAAATTTCCTTGGGATTTGGGGGTGGGACCTTAAGAGGGGTGGGGTTTGGGGAAGGACCTTGGCGAGGTATAAGGCCACAAGTCCACTCTCCAAGACAGCCATTTTCTCTAGGGTGACTGATCTGTGTTGTCCAGAGATCAGCTGTTGTTCTGGGAGCTTTCTAGGCCCCTCCTGGAGATGGGCAACCATAATCCGAGCGAATACAACCCCAGTGCGCACCCCCACCTTGCAGGAAGTGACCTTCTGCCCCTGTGCCACAGTTCTTCATTGTGCATGGGCCTCTGTGTTTTGTTTTGTTTTTCCCTTTGGCAGGCTCACCTTGGGACAGGTGATCCTTTCACCCCAGGGTTCCCTTCTTTCAACCATACCCAGTTTCCACCAGCTGAATCCTCGGGACTGCCACGCATCCCTGTGCAGACCATCTCCAGTTCTGCTGCAACTGAGCTGTTCAGGTAAAAAAAAACATTTTCCTTTTCCAAAGGGAGGCAGGCAATGCTCTGTTGGCGTCCTTGAGAATAAGCAGATGAAGTAGCAGGTTGGAGAGAAAAGTAGAGCTTTGGGAAAAGGTGCAGAAAAGGGCAACTCGAATGATAAAAGGGTTGGAACACTCTCCCTGTGAGGAAAGGTTAAGGCGCTTAGGGCCCTGTAGCTTGGAGAAAAGACGGCTGAGGGGTGACATGATCGAGGTTTATACGATTATGCATGGGAAAGAGCAGGTAGGGACAGAGGTACTTTTCTCCCTTTGTCACAATACAAGAACTCAAGTGGGCTCTCCATGAAATTGCTGAGCGGTTAGGTTAGAATGGATAATAGCAAGTGCTTCTTCACCCAAAGAGTGATTAACAGATGGAATTCACTGCCACAGGAGGTGGTGGCGGCTACAAGCATGGACGGCTTCAAAAGGGAATTAGATAAGCATATGGAGCAGAGGTCCATCAGTGGCTATTAGCCACAAGGTATAGATAAGGGCTCTGGGGCAAGTGATGTTCTGTTTTCTTGGTGCTTGGAGGGGGTCAACAGTGGGAGGGCTTCTAATGTCCTGGCCCCACTGCTGGACCTCCTGATGGCCCCTGGTATTTCTGGCCACTGTGTGACACAGAGTGTTGGACTGGATGGGCCTTTGGCCTGGTCCAACATCGGCGTCTCTTATGTTCTTATGTAGAGCTGGAAAGGGACCTCAGGGGTCATCTAGTCCAGCCCCCCCTGCACAATGCAGTAAATTGACAGCTGCTTCCCCTCCACTCCAGCAGTGATCTCTGCTCTGTGCCCAGAGGATGACAAAAGAATCTCCAGGATCCTGGGCTAATCTGGCCTGGAAGGAAATTCCAGACGCCAAAGTGACGATTGGCAATTCCCTGGGCCTATAAGATAGGACCACGAGAGGTGAACACTGGCTCATCCCTTCCTGCCCTCCCTCTCGTGATCTGCCCAAGTTCATACAATCAGCATTGCTGTCAGATGGCCATCTGGCCTCTGCTTACAAACCTCCAAAGGAGAGCCCACCACCTCCCGAGGAAGCCTGTCCCACTGAGGAACCGCTTTAACTGTCAGGAGGTACTTCTGAATATTTAACTGACAACTTTTTGGTTTAATTTCGATCCACTGGTTTCTGGCGGTTGCGCCATTTTCCTGCACACGAGGAGACTTTCCATGGAGAGCATTCAGTTGCGCAATCCTTACCAAGACCTCCCCGCTGAAGCGTCCACAGAAAGATTTGCTTACCTAGGAGTGGCGATTAAAAGTATTACTGCTAATGAATGTAGCCAGCAGTCTTGCATTAAACTGGAACTCTGTGCATAAGTAATATTTTTGCATGGCTAATAAGGAGACAGTGGAGTAAGTTCTTTAAATGAAGACTTGAGCTGACTTGAAAAAGAGGCAGCAGAAGCCGGATGTGGTGAGGCGCTGTGTCTGGTCACGGGGAGAGGCTCTCATGTAGAATCCCAAGCTCCTCTTGGTAATGTGCATGAATCTTTTGTCTTCTGGGGAAATCACTAAACAACTGAAATCCAGGCTTTCCATGTTGAGTAGCTTCAGGTAGCCTGAGTGGTAAGCTACATCTCAAACCTCCTGAAGCCTACAGTGGAACTAGATCCGGGTGGGGAGCCGTGTGAGTCTGTCCGTAGCACTCGAAAAGAGCAAGAGTCCAGTAGCATCTTAAAGGGTGCAGTCAAGCGGCATGCCAATAGTGGGTTAAACTGCTCCGGTTCTGACCGGATTATATTTCATCTGGATAATTGCAATCACACGTACCTCCCTTATCCCGCCTCACTGCACAGTCACGTTGCTCCCCGGCATCTACAGTACCGACATACAGGAGCATGTGTCAGCGGGTTTTTAAAAATTTTTCTCAGTTTGCACATGCGCATAGGTGCTCATCGGTAGAATGGGGGGGGGGACTACCGTGGTGCATGCACAGAACCACCAGGTCGAATCAATCCAATCCCTCCAACAAAAGACTTCCCTTTAAACGTTTGACCCGAAAATGGCTTCCGTGGGATCCCGAACTCATCTAAACTCTGAAACAAGTGACCGTTTAAACGTCGGTTTTCTGAACACGGTAGCAGAGCTCCGCCTATGCGTGCACCGCCGACACACACAAAAAAAATGGCGGGCGAAAACGGAAGCCTCGGGCCGCTTTCGAGCGGGGAGGGGGTTTAAACCGGAAGTGGCTTGACACCGGAGGAGCGATCACACGGGAGGGAAATGCGGCTTTAAACGGGAGAGCTGAGAAAACACCACTTTGGGACCTGGTATCAAAATACTCCAGGTTAAAGCCATTTTGCGCCGGAAACCAACGGCTGGGGACGGGAGGCAGATGCTGACTGTGTGATCGTGCAGATAAAATCCGTTGCTGAACTGTCACGCAGCCAGATCAGACGGTGCGTCTGAACGCTCCCAAAGACAGAAAATGTGTGGCAGTAGTGAGTCACTGCTTTACATACAGAGAGCGGTGGCTCAGGAAAGCTCCTCCCCCGCCACAAATGTTGTTAGTCTTTAAGGTGCTGCTGGACTCTTGCACTTTCTTACCGAACCCGACAAGATGGAGTGTGGTCATTATCTCCAACAAAGGTATCAAAAAGAAAGACCTCCTTGAAAGTGAACATAACTGCTCTCTACCGTGGTTCGAATACATACAAGTTACTCACTTGATTGAATCCATTAAGATTCGATCAGATTTCAATAGGCCACTTACCCCCTTTGAGCAGTTGTTAAAACTTAACCAAAATCCGTTAAAAAGTTACATCTCATGGAGTCCAATGCCACCTATGGAACATTTTTAAAAATATTTTCTTTATATGATGTGGCTCTTAGTAATTTCATTGAATTCCACATTTTTGACCATTTCTCTATGCTTATGTTACTTCCTATATCTGTTTCCCAAACCTTCATGCATGGTTTTATTTTTTCTGCTTGGAACTCGTCATCTAGTAGGAAGTTGTATATTTTTTGAATCAGTTTATCTGCGGAAGACAACCAAATTTTATCTAAGTTTGTGTTTGTTTTTATGAAGCCTCTTATTTTATCTTTCGCAAATCTAGATTTTAACTGTAGCTTCTCCCAGTTTGTGAGATTAATCTTCATTGCTTGCAATGTTCCAAAGTCTTTCAATTCGTTTTCTTTTGTAAGTATTTTATTTTTGTAAGTATATATTTTTAAAATGTTCCATAGGTGGCATTGGACTCCAGAGAAATCACTAAAATGCTATAAGACCGTATCAGGGAACTGCTGGAGATGTGAGAGAAATGTTGGCTCTTTCTTCCACATTTGGTGGAGATGCGAAAAAATTGTAAAATTCTGGAAAACTATAAAACAACTTATCCTAGAAATAGTAGATATAGACTTGAATCTGGTTCCAGAAATATACTTATTAAATATCTTACCTAATAATATACAATATAATGATGCACGTTTGATACTATACATCCTCACAAGTGTTAGAATTGCCATAGCAAAATGTTGGAAATCAGATAAAATTCCAAGCAGAGAAGAATTAATCATAAACATCTTAGACATAAAAGAAATGGATAAAACAAATATGTTTTTAGCGGGAAAAATGGATAGTGTGTTTAAGAAAAGATGGCAAAAATTAGATAACGGGTTAGAAATGTATGGACAAAAAGCTCCAAAAGTATTGTAAAATGGAAATATGAAATATCATTTTTGTTATATACGGAAAATCAATAAAAATACTTACCAAAAAAAAAAAGTTACATCTCATATATCTACGCTGACCTCCTACACTCTCAATCTACTAAATCTTTTAAGTTATCAAGAAGCCTGCAGACTGGGATGAAATCTAGTCATCCCCATCACTCAGGTCCAGCTCATTAAATATTCAACTCCAAAGCTACAAAATCCTTACCAGATGGTATCTCACACCCATAAGATTTCATAAAATCTCAAACTCCCCTCTATGCTGGAGATCTTGTGGGCAACGGGGGACTTTTATGCACTGTTGGTGGTCGTGCATTTTTGTCCAACAGTTTTGGTCCAAAGTAGTCTTATCTATCAAAGATATTACAGGTTATTTAATCCCTATGCAACCTGACCTTATCTTACTTGACTATTGGGCAGACTCTCATATACCCAAAATTAGGCAAGACCTCATATCAGTTCTATTAACGGCTGCAAAGGTTATCATTGCTAGATGTTGGAAATCCCCAAATAGGTTATTACTGTCCTCATGGCGTTTGAAAATATGGGATTACTATACCATGGATAAAATTTCCGAGGTAACAGTCAATACAAACCTCTCATGTAAAAACCCTAACCTTCATTTGAAATGGCTCCCTTTTCTTGAACATATGTTTAACTCTGAGTTCTCTAAATTCAGTGTTCCTAAAAAGTACTATGATGTTTTTCACCACATTTAATCTATTTTGAAGTTCGTATTAACTTATGCCGTTACCTTGTTGAGTAATATTGTTGATGACAACCATGAAGGTTTGTGTATTGTTTAAGTTGAAATGAAATAAAAAATTTAAATTAAAAAAAAAAGTTGGAGTGTGGTTGGCTGTCTAAACCTCCGCCCCGCCCCCGCCCCCCCGCCATGGGAATGACCCACGGTGCATTTATTAGCCTGACTCCCTCTGCCCTCAAGATCAGTGTAAAAGGGTCCTGAAAGGTAGCGATACACCTTGGAGGGCACGGGGATAGCGGCGTCAAAACCTGGGCTTTTTGTTTTCAGACGCATGTCCGGGATATCCTGCCCGCCGGGGTGGAGCGGCACGTTCAGCGCGGCTTGCAGGTTGGATTCGGGAGACCCTGCTGGAGTGACCGTGAGCCTCCAAGTCAACAACGCTTTTGTAGAGAGGAGAATCCTAAACATCTTTGGAGTGATCAAAGGCTTTGAGGAACCAGGTAAAGCCTCCTGCTGCTTCCGCTCCGAAGAGTTGGGGGGCGCTGTGCTCACGTGCCAGGCCGAGAGCGATGAAAGCTGGGTTGCAAAAGCGTTTTGAACTCGTTCTCAAATGATGCAGGCCAGTTGGGCTCACGTCGTGGGCTGTGATCAGTGACTTTCTCGGCCGGCACGCTGCCCGGGAGAGGGACGCCTTTGCTTCCCTTTTTGTTGCGTTCTCGAAGCCCTTTTCGTGCAAAATAGTGCCAAACCTGAACGTGGTGCAGCGGAACTAAACCCACAAGGGAAAGGACGAGTACGTGATGTGCCATTGAGTCCTTTCGATGACCTTCTCATTCCCAGCCTTGTTCAGGTCTTGCAAACTGAAGGCCCTTGTGGCTTCCTTGACGGAGTCCATCCATCTTACGCTGGGTCTTCCTCTTCGGCTGCCTTCCCCTTTTCCTAGCCTGGTCTTCTCCAGGGACTTTGTCTTCTCATGACGTGACCAGAGCACGACAGGGAAACAGTACGTCTAGGCAGGCCCGTAGCCAGGATTTTATGGCTTGTGGGGCACTTTTTTTTCTGGTGGGGCTGGAGTTCTCAGTGCGGAAAGGAAAGCCATTGAGCCAGTAGAAAGCTGTTACCAGGCTAGATCTCTAAATTGCAAGCTGTCAACCACTTTAGATGACAGTTCTCAGCTGCCGCAAGTTAATCACTTCTGCCAGCCTGGGCCACAATTCTGAGAACAAGCCAGCAGGTGGGGCTGATGACCTCTGTAGTCAAGAAAGCTAACCCTTAGGCAGAAAAGCTCCCTTAAAGGAGATCAGTTTCTTGACACAGAGTTAGAAGGTATCTTAGAGGTCACCTACTCCAACCCCCTTGCTCAGTGCGGGAATTAGGCCACTACAGTGCCCTACTCTGCTTAAAGGAGCGCATGCCTCTAAAAATTGTTTATAAATGATTAGATAAAAAGCATTTACAGGAGAGATTCTTCTGGGGCTGTGCCTTTAAGAAAGGGGGGCAAAGCCCCCAAATGCCCCACTGTAGCTACAGGTCTGCATCTAGGCATTCTCCAGGTTATTTAAGGCGATATAATGGCAGCCAAGGTCCAACTTGAGCTGGCTTTTCAGTAATCATTGGCTTGTACCAAGAAGAAAGAATCCAGTGCCTCTTCAGAGGCCGGGATGCCTTCTAAAGTGAAGCTGGAAATGCCTGTGTGACCCAGGCCGTGGCACGTGCATGGGAGGCATGACTGATCGCATCGGGCCTCAGCGAATCAGTTGGAGGTGTTGGGCATGTTAATGTTTCAGTGTAGACCCCAAGGCTGTGGCCCTGGTCGTATTTGTAATGTATGGAGGGTGGGGTGTGTGTAGGGGGCACTAGGTTGTGCCCTAGGAAGCTCTCTGAAACGCCCGGCTTGCATGCTTAATCAAATTGTGCTTTGTGTTGCAGATCGATATGTTGTGGTTGGAGCCCAGCGTGATTCCTGGGGGCCTGGAGCTGTAAAATCTGGGGTGGGAACTGCCATTTTGCTAGAACTTGCCCGTGCAGTCTCGCAGCTAGTGAAGAACGGTAAGGGTCTTGCCCCGGGTTGCCGTGGTGATGTTCTTTATCCTGGTGTACCTGCAAGCATTACGTGTCTGTCCTCTTCCTGAGACCCGGTTTGGTGTGGTGGTTAAGAGCAGCAGACTCTAATCTGGGAGAACCGGGTTTGGTTTCCCCAAGCCTCCGCATGCAGCGGCAGGTGTGACCTTGGGTCAGTCACAAGTTCGCTCAGAGCTGTTTTCGCACGAACAGTTCTTGAGAGAGCTCTCTCTCAGCCCCACCGGCCTCCCAGGGTGTCCTTTGCGGGGAGGGGAAGAGAAAGGAGATTGTAAGCTGCTCTGAGACTCCTTAGGTAGTGAAGGGCGGGGTATAAATCCAATCTCCTCCTCCTCCTTCACTGTGCTGTCCACAGAAAAGTTCTCCTTGTTTTGTTTAAATTTATCTTTTTATTTCCAAATTTCCCAACAAACAAATTACAAACGAAGCAATAAAGCCGTAGAGAGGACATAGAAACCAGTGGAGCTGCTGCTGGTGTGACCTTGGGTCAGGCACAAGTTCTCTCCGAGCTGCTCACTCAAGAGCAGTCCTCGAGTGAGATCTCTCAGCCCCACCTACCTCCCAGGGTGTCTGTTGTGGGGAGAGGAAGGGAAAGGAGACTGTAATCCATTTTGTGGCTCATTGAGTAGTGAAGGGTGGGGTATAAATCCAATCTCCTCCTCTTCCACGTTTCAGACCGCTATAGGCCCCGGCGGAGCCTCGTGTTTGCCAGCTGGAGCGCCGGCGACTTTGGAGCGGTCGGCGCCACAGAGTGGCTGGAGGCAAGTAGGGGACTCGGCGGGAGGGGTCTTCTCCGAGTGGGACTGGTGTCGACATGCCCTTGAGGTGGGGCAGCTGCTTAGGCCTGGCCCTCCTCAAGGGGCACACGGCTGCTGACCAGTGTTCCCTCTAAGCTGAGTGAGTGTGAGCCAGCTCACAGGTTTTTAGCCTCCGGCTCACACATTTTTTGCCTTAGCTCAGGAAGGATGAGCTCCAGAGCAAACTGATCTATGCAGCAGCCGAATCACTTGCTCACAACTTTAATGCCACGAGCTCACAAAGTAGAACTTTTGCTCACAAGACTCCGCAGCTTAGAGGGAACATTGCTGCTGACCCCCCCACATCTCCTTTGGTGCCTGCCCACAAGCCACCCCCCTGTCTCTTTCCTTGGAAGCGCTCCCCCCCCCCCCCCCGGCTCTCGTTATGGCGGCCCAGAGACATTGGGAAAAGGCATGAGGTCTGCAGAGGAGATCCTGCAGCACCTGCACCAGCCAGTGTTCCCTCTGAGCTGAGTGTGAGGCAGCTCACGCTTTTTTAGTCTCCTGCTCACCCATTTTTGTCTCAGCTCAGGGCTCCAGAGCACACTTAATTGACGCAGCAGCCCAATCACTCGCTCGCCACTTTAATGCCAGCAGCTCACAAAGTGGAACTTTTGCGCACGAGACTCCACAGCTGAGAGGGAGCCTTGGCACCAGCCTGTGCTGTTGGGCAAAGGGCACGCAGGCGGTGGAGTGTGGGCGGTGGGAGAAGGTGAGAAGGCCCACAGGCAGAAGGGGAGGGAAATGTTTGGAGAGGGGACTGCTGGTGCGCTGGCAGGACCTCTGGGCACTACCTGCCCTCAGAACCTGCTTTGGTCTCAGCGTGTCATAGTGCGGAGATAGCCACTAACTGCCCCTGTGATGTCTCGCCTGTCTTAGGGGTATGCTGCCACGCTGCACCTGAAGGCTTTTGCATACATCAACTTGGATTCAGCCGTAGCAGGTAATGGTTCATAAGAGCATAAGAGAAGCCAATGTTGGATCAGGCCAACAGCCCATCCTGTCCCACACTCTGTGTCACACAGTGGCCAAAAATACCAGGTGCCATCCGGAGGTCCAGCCGTGGGGCCAGACCTCCAGAAGCCCTCCCACTGTTTGCCCCCCCCCCCCAATCACCAAGAAGACAGAGCATCACCTGCCCCAGACTGAGAGTTCCTATAAGAACATAAGAGAAGCCAATGCTGGATCAGGCCAATGGCCCATCCAGTCCAACACTCTGTGTCACACAGCGGCCAAAAATACCAGGAGGTCCAGCAGTGGGGCCAGGACACTAGAAGCCCTCCCACTGTTGCCCGCCCCCAAGCACTAAGAATACAGAGCGTTACTTGACCCAGACTTGCTTCCTACCTATTCCTTGTGCCTAATGGCCACTGATGGACGTCTGCTCCAGATGTTTATCCAATTCCCTCTTGAAGCCATCCGCGCTTGTAGCCGCCACCCACCCACCCCATGGCAGTGAATTTCATTTGTTAATCACTCTCTGGGTGAAGAAGGGCTTTTATCCGTTCTAACCTGACTGCTCAGCAAGGCTGTCTCAGTCAGGAAATGGGACATTTATGATCAGATCTTAACCGACAGGCAGATTCTAGTAGTCTGAGGCTCCCTCCCTGGCGTCTTCCAGACTCGGAAAGACACTTGGTCCACTTGGAACCCCGGGAAGCTGCTGCCAGTCTGGAGTAGACAGGGCTGGACCAGACGGCTGATTTGTTTTGCCTTTCTGCTTAAAGCAGCTTTGTGGGTTGGGCTGAGCTTTTGCTGGTCTTGATGAAGCCGAATGTCCGGCTGTGACCTCAGATCCAACAGCCGCTTCTTCCCGAAACAGTCCCGGCCCGCATTCGCGTCTGTTAAACTGTCCTTGGGGGAGGTGTAATGGGAAGCTATCCCATGTTGGGTCCAAGATACATGGCTGGCTGCCAAAGGCACATGGCCGTCCATGCAGCATCCTTTGCCTGCCGGAGAGGAGTCATAGAATGTCAGAGTCGGAAGGGACCTTGCAGGTCATCTAGTCCAACCCCCTGCACTCTGCAGGAGCATAGCTGAAAGATGGCCCTACAACATCCCCAAAAGTTGGCTTTGTAGTCATGCAGGACTTTAGGAGCTCAATTCAGAAATCGCGGCAGCCTCCTCCCCGTTGCTGATGCTGGAGCCTCCTGAACGGATGTTTCTCAACTGCACCCCACAGGTTCAGGTGACTTCAAGTTCTCCGCCAGCCCCATGCTGAAACAGCTCCTCAAGGAAGCCGTCACAAACGTGAGTAGCCTTTCGTTTGCACCAGGCTCGTGGCTGCAATCCAATTCCTAAATGGGGCTCGTCAGAGCGTTCCAGCAAGGGCCACTTTCTGAGAGCCAGTAGTGTGCGGACTCTAATCTGGGAGAACCGGGTTTGATTCCCCACCCCTCCGCTTGCATCTCCTGGATGACCTTGGGCAAGCCATAGTTCTGTCTGAGCTGTTCTTGAAAAAGAGCAGTTTCTGTCAAGAGCTCTCTCAGCTCCGCCCACCTCACAGGGTGTCTGTTGTGGGGAGGGGAAGGGAAAGGAGTTTGTAAGCCGCTCTGAGACTCCTCTGGGTAGTGAAGGGCGGGGGATAAATCCAATCTCTTCTCTTTTTCTCTGTGTTTGCTTGTGTGTGGTGGTATGTGTGGGGGGGGGGGGCTAAGAGGGTCAGAGTAGTATCTGTGAGACCTGGGCTTTGAGACCCACTCTTGCCATGGAAGCTGGCTGGGTGACCTTGGACAAGTGGCACACTCTCGGCCTAGCCTACCTCACAGGGTTGTTGTGAAGACAAGACAGAGGAAAGGAGGACGATGTAAACCGCTTTGGGTCCCCGTCAGGGTGGAAGGTGGGATATACACAAATCATACTATATGCGCCAGCTATGTACAGCCAGGGACCATTTCCTCCCGGAGCGCCCCGGAGCAGCGTTCCAGCAGTAAGGAGCCCAGGCCCCCGGCCCTTCCTGGCCTCACAGGGGGAAGAGTGGGGGGGGGGGGGGATTTAAATCCCTAGGTTTCCTGCCTGACCTCCTCCAGGTACCCCACAGCCGAGCCCTTTGTCGGGGTGTGTGGCCAGTGTTCCCTCTAAGCTGATTTAAGTGTGAGCTAGCTCACAGTTTTTTAGCCTCCAGCTCACACATTTTTGTCATAGCTCAGGAAGGATGGCTCCAGAGCAAACTAACTGATGCAGCAGCCATATCGCTCCCTCACAACTTTCATGCCAGTAGCTCACAGAGTAGAATATTTGCTCACAAGACTCCACAGGTTAGAGGGAGCCTTGGGTGTGGCATATGCAAATGAGCTCCTGCACCTCTTTTTCTAGGGAATGACCCCTGCATACTACCCAGTGGAGCTTTCTCAGGATATTCTGTGGCTTGGGCCGTTTTGTCCTCAGTTCCACGTTAACCGTTGTGCACACGAGACCAAGAGCTCACTGTGCACTTGAGGAGCAGTGTGCAGCGGCCTACAGGGGAGGGCAGTCTATAAATTTAATAAATAATAATTTGACCTTAGCAAATAGCGGGCTTGAGAGATCTTTGCACCTGAAAGCCACAAGAGTGCTTCTTGGCAAACCACATAGCCCTCTTTTTGGAATGGCACTAGAGGCATTTGTGTTCTGCCTGGGCTGAAAGAGCCTCTCCGTAGTCTTCCCAACCCCTGTGGTGACATCTGTATTGTATCCCCCCTCTTCTAGGTGAAGGAGCCACGTTTCCTTGGCAACACGCTGCCCAGTAAAGAGTAAGTATCGTGCCTTCTCTGTTCGGAAGGGCGGTCGTCTGTTGAGACGCTTTTGCTTTCCCTGTTAGGTAAAGGTCAAGGTTTCCCTTGCTCGAAAGCCAGTCGAATCCGACTCTAGGGTTGCGGTGCTCATCTCCGTTTCCAAGCCGAAGAGCCAGCGCTGTCCGAAAACGTTTCCCGTGGTCACGTGGCCGGCATGACTAAACACCAAGGTGCACGGAACGCTGTTCCCTTCCCACCAAAGTGGTCCCTATTTATCTACTTGCAATTTCTTGCTTTCGAACTGCTAGGTTGGCAGGAACTGGAACTAGAGACAGGAGCTCACCCCGTCTTGCGGCACCCGGGTCTTGAACTACTGAACTACTGACCTTCCACAGCCTGCAGTTCAGCGTCTTAACCACTTGAGCCACCGCAGCTCCTGCCCTGTTAGGGGAGGTTAATATTTAATCACAGCTTCGTGGTCAGGGTGAATGCTGCTCAGCTTGCGCCGGAGGTACAGGAGCAAGGCTTTTCTCTCCGTGGCCTTCCAGGCAGTGCACCTGCACCATAATATACATGAGAGCAGAGTTTGGGCCGTTGCTCCACCTATCCCACTCTGGCAGTGGTGCTCTGAAATCTCTGTTTTGGGACTCTTCCCAATCCAGCTGCAAGAGTTCCTTCACTACAACATCACTTAGTCATCCCAGGCCCCAGGGAGGCCAGGCTTGCGGCAACCAGGGCCAAGGCCTTTTCAGTGGCGGCTCCTACCTGGTGGAATGAGTTCCCGGAGGAGATCAGGGCCCTGCGGGACCTCTCACAGTTCCGCAGGGCCTGCAAGACGAAGCTCTTCCACCAGGCTTTTAATTAGGAGTTACCACCACCACCAATTATTTGGTGGTAACAATGGGGTGATGGGATGGGCCAGTATAAGATCTCGCTACAGTATTGCGATGGGGTCGGGGCTGTCTCAGCCCCACCTGCCTCCCAGGGTGTCTGTTGTGGGGAGGGGAAGGGAAAGGAGTTTGTAAGCCAATCTGAGATGCCTGCGGGTAGTGAAGGGTGGGGGTATAAATCCAATCTCCTCCTCTTCTTCAGAGCTCCAAATTAAACCTTGAGTGATTTTTGAGCGTCTGAGTCTTTTAAGATGCCCGGTATAGTAGTTGAAATGCGCTTGTGTGTTTCTGCAGGGTTCCCTTCCGCATGGACAACGCAGGCTTTCCCTTCCTGGCGTATTCGGGAATCCCGTCTGTTTCGTTCAGCTTCACTAATGTAAGCATTTTGAACAGGGCTCGTGCTCACCTGTCACTCTCCACCTGGTTCAAACCGTGACTACTCAGCTCCTGGAGGAGAACGTGCAAGCCAGGGCAGATCAATTTCCTTTTTTCCCTTTTGCCCAGGGGAGGTCACTGGTAACCACTCCTCCTTAATGGCTGTTAAGCAGAACAGGTCTCTGGTCCAAGACCCGCTTGTAGGTAGGCACAAGAAGCAGGTGTCGGAGTTCCGCAGCAGAAGGCAGGGCTTTAGACTATCGTGCAAGGTCACACCCACAAAGCTGCCCACAAAACGGGATAAAAGGAAGTCCTTCTTCACCCAAAGAGTGATGAACACATGGGATTCACTGCCACAGGAAGTGGTGGCGGCTACAAGCATGGACGGCTTTTCAAGAGGGAATTGGATAAGCATATGGAGCAGAGGTCCATCAGTGGCTATTAGCCACAAGGTATAGATAGGGGCTCTGGGGCAAGAATACAGAGCATCCCTTGCCCCAGACATAAGAACGTCAGAGAAGCCATGTTGGGTCATTCCAGTCACACAGTGGCCAAAACCCAGGTGCCATCAGGAGGTCCACCAGCGGGGGTCAGAACTCCAGAAGCCCTCCCACTGTTGCCCCCCAAGCACCAAAAGACAGAGCGTCATCCCCCCAGACATAAGAACATAAGAGAGAAGCCAATGTTGGATCAGGCCAGTGGTCCATCCAGTCCAACACTCTGTGTCACACAGTGGCCAGAAATACCAGGTGCCATCAGGAGGTCCAACAGTGGGGCCAGGACAGTAGAAGCCCTCCTGCTGTTGCCCCCCCCCCCCCCCCCCAGAAAAAAGAGAATCCCTTCGCCCCGACATTCAACCCTTAGTATCCCTTTTGAAATTGAAGTTTTGTAGTGTGGGAGATTCTACAGCCTTGTGCGCTCTAGTAATGTCAGAAAAATCCAGGAAAGCAGTCCCCCCGTCTCCGCCCCCCCCCCCGGGCACCAAGAATACAGTGAGTCAGTTGCCCCAGACGGAGAGTTCCTATCTCTACCTTGTGGCTAATAGCCACTGATGGCCCTCTGCTCCATATGCTTATCTAATTCCCTCTTAAAGCCATCCTTGCTTATAGCCGCCACCACCTCCAGTGGCAGTGAAGCCATTGTAAGGCTCTCGGTGTCTGTGTCGTGGGAGAAGAGCGTAAAGAGTTTCCAGGAGGGTGGACGTGCAGGGCTGGCACCGGTATTGCGGCTTCTCACGCCAGTTCCTTCAGGCGCTAACCTGGGCAAACGTGTGCTGGGGAGGGCAAATTGGAAGTTGAGGTGCTAGAGTCCGGCCCATATCTTCAGCCCCCTTTGAACCAGAGCCACAGTAGAAAAAAGGTGTGAAGGGCACGGGAGACCGGTTGGGTCGGGAGACCTGGCCACTTTGTGAATCCGCAACCGCATGGCGACCGTGCAGGTGAGCGTTGTCTAAAAGCCAGCTTCTAAGGCCGGTACTTCTTTCTAGGCGGGCGGCAGCGAATATCCCCACCTCGGCACCACCGAGGACACTCTGGACAAGCTGCTTATCTACTTAGGGTCAGGGGACCATCTGGATATCGCGGTCCGCGCAGCCACCGAGATCGCCGGCCGCATGGCACTCAGGATGACGCACGACCACGAATTGTACCTGGACTACAACAGCTATGACGACAAGCTGCTGGGTTTTGTGCGCAAGCTGCTGCCCTACAACAAGGATCTGCAGGTAAGCGGCAACCTGTTGGTTCGGCTGGAATAATTGGAGTGAAGAGCAAAACCAGCGTCCAGCGGCTCCTTAAAGACCAACACTATTTAGTCCTGAGTCGAGCGGCACCTTTGAGATCAACAAAGTTTTTATCCAAGGTGTAAGCTTTCAGGTGCAAAACACATGTCTTCAGTCAAAACTGGAATAAAATCTCAAAACCTAGTTACAGGGAAACTAGCTTTTGAGGCTTTCTTCCAGTTCTGTCTGAAGGAGTGCGTTTTGCACACGAAAGTTTACTGTTTGAACAAAGCCTTGTTGATCTCAAAGGTGTGCCGCTTGAGTCAAATTTTGCTCTGCTCTGCCGTTTATGACCAACACAGCTACCCTCCTGAATCAATATTTAGTCCTGAAGAAACCACTGGACTTCTGTTTTGCTCTCAGGTGGAACATGGAAGAGAGAGAGAGGATCACGCAAATGAATGGCTATAAATAGAACAAAAGTTACCGTGATCAATTTACTAATGTCCTTTCCAATACTATATCAATCTTTTATTCTTAATGTAATCACACTTAATACAGTCATCTCTCCCTTATATATAATTGAGTAAGACGCAGCGTAAGACTGAGCGGAGACAAAATGCGCTCCGTCAGCCATTGGCTGGCCAGCTGCCGCTCAAGGCTGCTGCCATGCCATTGGCTGGGAGGCAGGAGGCGAACGCTGCGTGCAAATGGTGTGGCGGCGATGCGCCCCTTGGCGCGACCAGATTTCCCTCCCTCCCCCACCCAGTTGGATCAGCCAGTTGGAGTCCGGCGGCGGCGGCAGCAATTCCTTCTCTCCCCCCCCCGGAGAATCTTTTGCAGGCCCCCCTGCCTCTCCCCCTTCTTACTTCCTTCCTTTCTCTCTTTCTCCCCCCCCCCCACTTTCTTCCTTTCTCTCTTTCTCCTTCCTTCCTCTCTCACTCTCTTTCTCTCGCCCCTTCCTTCCTTCCTTCCACCCACCCACCCTTTCTAGGCGCCCGTTGTCTCCATCCACAACGGGCTTTGCTCCCTAGTAGTCATATAAATATACAGAGCCTTTTTTGTTTTAAAGAGAGGTGCCGGAACTCTCAAGAGGGACACGAAGTTTTCAGTCTGTATCCATCTAGTATTTCTGAAACTTGGTGGGATGAGGAAAATCAGTGGGACACAGTGATTCCCGGTTATATATTATATCGGAAGGATAGGGGGGGAAGGGTTGGAGGTGGGGTAGCTCTGTATGTCAGAGAGGGTATAAAGTCTAGAAAGATTGAGAGGCTAAGTGAATTGGATTCGCTTCTGGAAGTTCTATGGGTTGAAATAGGGGGGCCAAAAGGAAACTTAACACTGGGAGTTTGTTATCGCCCACCAGATCAAAAGATAGAGGAGGATTATAAAATGATGAATGCCTTAAAGATAGCAACTAGACAAAAACACTGTGTAATAATAGGTGATTTTAACTACCCACACATTGATTGGGTCAATATGTGTTCTAGCCGGGAAAAAGAGATTGAGTTTCTAGACACTCTAAATGACTGTGCTATGGAGCAGATGGTCACGGAACCTACCAGGGGAGAGGCGATCCTTGATTTAGTCCTAAGTAACACTCAAGACCTGGTGAGAGATGTAAAAGTGATTGCACCGCTTGGAAACAGTGATCATAATGTTGTTGAGTTCATCATTTGTACAAATAGAGAATTGGCCAAAAAGACTCACACAACCATTTTTAACTTTAAAAGGGGTAATTTCTCTGATATGAGGGGACACGTGGGGAGGAAACTGAAAGGAAAAGTAGAAAGGGTCAAAACAATTGGGGAAGCTTGGGATCTATTTAAAACTACGATCCTAGAAGCTCAAAAAATATATATTCCGCAGGTTAGGAAAGGCACAAACAGGTATAGGAAAAAGCCTGCATGGTTAACAAACAGAGTAATGGAGGCTGTAAAAAGTAAAAAGAATTCCTTTAAGCAGTGGAAAGCTAGTCACAGTGAGGCTGATAAAACGGAACACAGGCTATGGCAAATAAAATGCAAGTCTGAGGTCAGGCAGGCAAAAAGGGAATATGAGGAGCATATAGCAAAAAACGTAAAAACCAACAATAAAACTTTCTTCAAATACATTAGAAACAGGAAACCAGCCAGGGAGGCAGTGGGGCCCTTGGACGACCAAGGGGTAAAAGGAGTATTGAAGGATGATAGGGAAATGGCTGAGAAGCTAAATGCATTTTTTGCCTCCGTCTTCACTGTGGAAGATGAGAAGTGCTTGCCCACTCCAGAACCACTGATTTCAGGAGGGGTGTTGGAAGACCTGAGTCAGATTGAGGTGATGAGAGAGGAGGTCCTAAAACTGATAGACAACTTAAAAACTGAAAAATCACCAGGCCCAGATGGCATACATCCGAGAGTTCTGAAAGAACTCAAATGTGAACTTGTAGATCTCCTGACAAAGATATGTAATCTTTCCTTAAAATCTGCCTCCATTCCTGAGGATTGGAAGGTAGCTAATGTCACTCCCATCTTTAAAAAGGGTTCCAGAGGAGATCCGGGAAATTACAGGCCAGTCAGTCTGACGTCGATACCGGGTAAATTGGTGGAAACCATTATTAAGGAAAGAATTAGTAGGCACATAGATGAACAAAACCTATTGAGGCAGACTCAGCACGGTTTCTGTAAGGGAAGATCTTGTCTCACTAACCTGTTAGTGTTCTTTGAGGGGGTGAACAAACATGTGGACAAGGGGGATCCAATAGATATTATTTACCTTGACTTCCAGAAAGCTTTTGATAAAGTTCCTCATCAAAGGCTCCTAAGTAAGCTCAAAAATCATGGGATAGAAGGACAAGTCCTTTTATGGATCAAAAACTGGCTAGTTCATAGAAAACAGAGAGTGAGTGTAGGTGGGCAATTTTCTCAGTGGAGGGTGGTAAGCAGTGGGGTACCGCAGGGATCAGTACTTGGTCCACTGCTTTTTAACTTGTTCATTAATGATTTGGAGATGGGAGTAAGCAGTGAAGTGGCTAAATTTGCGGATGATACAAAGTTGTTCAGGGTGGTGAAAACCAGTGAGGATTGTGAGGCACTCCAAGGGGATCTGTCAAGGATGGGCGAGTGGGCGTCAACATGGCAAATGGGGTTCAATGTGGCCAAGTGCAAGGTGATGCACATTGGAGCCAAAAATCCTAAATATAAATACACATTGATGGGGTCTGAACTGGCAGAGACTGAGCAAGAGAGAGATCTTGGAGTTGTAGTGGATAACTCACTGAAAATGTCGAGACAGTGTGTGACTGCAATAAAGAAGGCCAATGCTATGCTGGGGATTATTAGGAAGGGTATTGAAAACAGATCAGCCAATATAATAATGCCCCTATATAAATCAATGGTGAGACCTCATTTGGAATACTGTGTGCAGTTCTGGGCACCACACCTTAAAAAGGATATTATAGCTTTGGAAAAAGTGCAGAAAAGGGCAACTCGAATGATAAAAGGGTTGGAACACTTTCCCTATGAGGAAAGGTTAAAGCGCTTAGGGCTCTTTAGCTTGGAGAAAAGACGACTGAGGGGTGACATGATCGAGGTTTATAAGATTATGCATGGGAAAGAGCAGGTAGAGAAAGAGGTACTTTTCTCCCTTTCTCACAATACAAGAACTCGTGGGCACTCCATGAAACTGCAGAGCGGTCGGGTTAGAACGGATAAAAGGAAGTACTTCTTCACCCAAAGAGTGATTAACACTTGGAATTCACTGCCACAGGAAGTGGTGGGTGCTACAAGCATGGACGGCTTCAAAAGGGAATTAGATAAGCATATGGAGCAGAGGTCCATCAGTGGCTATTAGCCACAAGGTATAGCTAGGGGCTCTGGGGCAAGTGATGCTCTGTCTTCTTGGTGCTTGGGGGGGGGGTCAACAGTGGGAGGGCTTCTAATGTCCTGGCCCCACTGCTGGACCTCCTGATGGCACTGGTATTTCTGGCCACTGTGTGACACAGAGTGTTGGACTGGATGGGCCTTTGGCCTGATCCAACATTGGCGTCTCTTATGTTCTTATGTTCTAGTCCAGCCTCCCGTCTCACACAGTGGCCAACCAGTTCCTCTGGAAGGCCAGCCACAGGGCATGGAGGCCGAGGCCTTCCCCTGACGTTGCCTCCTGGCTCTGGGATACAGAGGCTTTTCGTGCCTCTGAATGTGGAGGTTCCCCTCAGCCACCAGGGCTAGTAACTGTTGATGGACTTGACTGCCTAGATCAAGCGTACTTAACGTAAGAACCACATAGCCATAAACATCAGATGTCTGAGAGCCGCAAGACATGAGCAAATACCACACACACGTTTTTATTGGGAAATATGCAATTTGCTTTTTATTAACATTAACTTAGACTCTGTGAAAGAGCCACATGCGACTCCCGAGCAGCAGTTTGGCCACCCCTGGCCTAGGTCCATCTCGAAATCAGGACACTGGCAACCAACTGAAAAAACCTTGCTGGGACTGACCAGTGGTCTCTCCGGGGCAGGATCTCGTTTCCCCACAGCGGCCAACCAGACGCTCTGGAAAGGCAGCTCCAAAGCAGATGTTTGGCAGGGTTGACATGTGGTCAGAGCCCTGCTGCTTCTAGAGCATTTCTCTGCATTGGGTGGTCACAACTAGAGATGTAAAATTTCCGGAAATTTTGAAGCTCGGAAAAAAACCCATTTTTTGTTGTTGTTTTCAGGGGAAAAAACGGAAATTTTCGGAAAAATTGAAAAAATGCTACATTAGCATTTCTTTTGTCTTTTCTAGATTGAAAGTCATTCTGTTACTTTAGGAACATAAAATATGACTATGGACATTTTTACTTGGCATGAAATTATCACAACTAGCATATTAAAAATATAGTGTATCCAAACAATTATTACAAACAGAATACCCACCCACATGCAAAAACAAAACTGAAACCTTTTTGTTTTCTTCTGACAATCACACCTCCTAAAGGAAGAAATGCATCTTGTGCTTGCATTGGAGAGTTCAGTTTGTAACCGAGGACTTGCTTGTCCGTCCACAGAAATTAGATCTATCTGACACCATACCTATTTTTTAGAAATGATTTGGAAAATATTTGAACACCTGGTCTTAAAATATTTTATCCATCAAGTTAAAATAAAATGTTCCATAATCATTTTTTTTTCTTTTTTCAATTTTTCGGAAAAAACCAAAAAGGCTTCAGGAAAAAAACAGGGGAAAAAAGTGTTTTCCCCGAATTTTTCCGGTTTTTTTCCGGGTCTTCACATCTCTAGCCACAACCGCTGTCTGCCGCTCATCACATGAAAGAGGCTCATACACAATAAGCTGCCTTACACTGAATCAGATCATTGGTCCATTAAGGTTGGCATTGTCCACTCAGACCGGCAGCCGCTCTCCAGGGTCTCGGGCGAAGGTCTTCCTCCTCACCTCCTGCCTGGGCCTTTTCTTAACGGGAGGTGCCAGGGATTGAACTGGGGACCTTCCGCACGCAAAGCGGATGCCCCGCCGCTGAGCCACGACATTGCTTCCACCTTGGCTTGCAAAAGTTGATGGTGACTTTGCTCCAAAGCGTGTCTGGTTGAACTGCACAGGAGACTGAAATCAGTGGAAGCTCTCCAGGTGCGTCTTAGTTTGCCACGGCGTCTGAGGTGCCGTTTTCTCTCTCGCACAGGGCATGGGGCTGCACCTCCGGTGGCTCCTGGTGGCCCGCGGGGACTTCAGCCGTGCTACGAATGCCCTGAAGACTGCTGTCCAAAACACTGACCTGTACAACAAGGTTGCCTGCCGAGCTTTGAACGACCGGATCATGAAAGTGAGTCCCCACAGAAAGGAGGTGGGACCCAAAATGTGTTTCTCCACTGGGATTCACTTGCCCTGCTCCCCATCCTCACATGTAAACACACGTAAAGCTGCCTTCTACCAAATCAGCCCCCCCCCCCCCGACCCATCAACTTCAGTATGGTCCACTCAGACTGGCAGCGGCTCTCCAGGGTCTCAGGCAGAGGTCTTGCTGAGGTCCTTTTTAACTGGAGATGCCAGGGACTGGACCTGGGACCCTTCTGCATGCCAGTCTGGTGTAGTGGTTAAGTGCGCGGACTCTAATCTGGGAGAACCGGGTTTGATTCCCCCACTCCTCCACATGCAGCTGCTGGTGTGACCTTGGGTCAGTCATGAGTTCTCTCAAGAGCAGTCCTCGAAAGAGCTCTCTCAGCCCCACCTACCTCCCAGGGTGCCTGTTGTGGGGAGAGGAAGGGAAAGGAGATTGTAAGCCGCTCTGAGACTCCGAGTGAAGGGTGGAGTATAAATCCAATCTCCTCTTCTTCTACTGAATCAGATCCCCCTTGATCCATCATGTTCAGTATTGTCTACTCAGACTGGCAGCGGCTCTCCAGGGTCTCAGGCGGAGGTCTTTCCCATCATCTGCCTGGTCCTTTGGACTGGAGATGCCGGGGACTGAACCTGGGACTTTCTGCGTGCCAGGCAGAGGCTCTGCCACTGAGCCACAGCCCCTCTTTACAGCTCTCCGGGGTCTCAGGCGGAGGTCTTTCCCATTATGTCCTGCCTGGTCCTTTGGATTGGAGATGCCGGGGATTAAAGCTGGGACCTTCTGCATGCCAGGCAGAGGCTCTTCCACTGAGCCACAGCCCCTCCCTACAGCTCTCCAGGGTCTCAGGCTGAGGTCTTTCCCATCACCTCCTGCCTGGTCCTTTTAACTGGAGATGCCAGGGACTGAACCTGGGACCTCCTGGGACTTTCTGCGTGCCAGGCAGAGGCTCTTCCACTGAGCCACAGCCCCTCCCTACAGCTCTCCAGGGTCTCAGGTGGAGGTCTTTCCCGTCACCTTCTGCCTGGTCCTTTTAACTGGAGATGCCGGGGACTGAACCTGGGACCTCCTGCATGCCAGGCAGAGGCTCTTCCACTGAGCCACAGTCCACCCCCCCCCTCCTTCCAGTGCAGTGCTGAACAGAACTTCATGAGAACAAGCCAACCCCCCAAAACCCTGTTACAGCCACAGCTTAAGCCAAAATCAGCCAACTTTCTCCATCCTCTCTCAACTAGCATAGTCTTTCCAGGCAAACGTCCGGGCCCCCAAACACGCAGGGTGCCGATTGACCTTTTGCCGATGACCCGTGTTGTCTTCTCCCGGGGCTTCCTAGCGGCCCCCGCCCGGCTCCGGCACGGTTGTGACCCCGGTGTCCCTTTGCTCTCCAGGTGGAGTACCACTTCCTCTCCCCGTACGTCTCCCCAAAGGAAACGCCCCTCCGGCACATCTTCTTCGGCTCCGCCCCCCACACGCTCCAAGGCCTGCTGGACCACCTGAGCCTCCTGAAGACCAACAGGAGCTCCGTCGACGAAGACCTGCTGAGGAACCAGCTGGCCCTGGCGACGTGGACGATCCAGGGGGCCGCCAACGCGCTCGCGGGGGACATCTGGGACATCGACAATGAGTTCTGAGAACGCCACGCGCTCGGTCCCGAAGTACCACGACGGGGAGCCCCCCCTCCCCCGCCTCGGGCCCCCACTTCCCCCAAAGCACAGAACAAATTCCTCTTAGCCCCCCCTAGAATGACTTTTAAAAGAAGCCCAGATTAAAACGTAGAGCAGCTCAGAATGACTTGAAATGAGACCCCGCCCACCCCAGCTCCCGCTCAAGGCGCTGTCCTTAGTTGGGGTCCGGCGAGAGGTCGATCTTGACTTTTATCAGCGCCTCCGTCGAGTGGGCAGGGGCAGAATTGGCAGATCTCTAAGCGGCCCCTCCCGCGGTGTTGTTAACACGAGCGAAGAACAATATTGAAAGTTACTTTGCAGCTTGCGAAAGCAGAAGGTGACCCCGAAGCGCCTGGGAAGAGCCGGTCCGTGGCCTGGGTCGAAGGGGTCTTCCCGATCTCTCCCCACAGGCTGCCGCGGGCCCCCTCTTGCCATCGGCCTGGTCCAGTCACCCTTCTGCTTTCCCAAGGAACAAGGGAACGCCCTGGAAGGGGCTTCCCTCCCAATGTCCTCACACTGACACTGACGGTGCCTCCAGCGGGGGGGCCCGTCTCGCACTAGTTCAAAAGCTCACTGGGTATCCCGTCTCCCCTTTTTGGCAAGCCTTTGAGTTGTGCTCCGTCCCTCGTCTGCGGAGTCCTCCCTGCCAGCCTAAGTCCGACCGTTTGCCGGGGAGACACCGAGGTATTTATTCGTTATTTATTTATCAGTGGCAGTGTTCACTATAAATGGTGTTTTTGTTCTTTCTACTGAAGATAATTATCGGAAGCAGTGACTTCCATAATTATGACAGTTATACTGTCGTTTTTTATAAAGCAGCATCTGCTAGTACAATCCGCCGTGGTACTGGAACTTTCGCCCTCTGCGGCCTGCGGCGGCCTCAATTGGGAACCCGAGACTGGAGACTACTTTTTTGAGGGAGCAGCAAGAGAAGTGAGCGGGGGCGTTTTCATCCATCAAATGATGGGGAAAGAGGAGCAAGAACTGAAATGCAGATTCTTTCCACCCAATGAAGGTGTCAAATGTCTTGCTTCCCATGGGGCTAGGGCTGACGTCCGCCGCTGCAGGCTTGTGTCAATCTTGGGCTTGAACCAAAAAATAAAAAAATGGCAGCTTCTATGTAAAACTTCCAGTACCGCGGTGTACCACGAGAACCTAGGTCACATTATCGGGTGCAGTGCCTCCCATAATGTTCAAGAACAAGGTAGTTTTTGCCTACCACAATGTTATATCGGAGGCAATGGCCTCCATATGGCGCACGAAGGGGTGTCTTAATTATCGGGGACAGCGTTTCCCATAATTTTTCCTTAAATGCTCGCTGCGCACACCACCCGCGGAGCATGATCGTTAGTATCTAACATGTGTATATTTGAACTTCTGCGATTGTCTCTTCTCTTGTCTGGAATGGCCTCACGCCGGCTGCCTTTCTTGGGCGGCTGGTTAATCCCGCCCACGGTACAGAGTCCAAGATGGCGAGGGACCACAGTCGGTTGCTTGCCACTGCTATGGCCGAGGATACGTTCCGGCACGTGAGAGAACCGGTGGGCTTCTGTTGACTGTTGAGTAAATGTTGTGCTTTGTGCTTGTTGCTTTGCGAAGCTGCCGGGTTTGAATCGGTAGAGTTGGTGTCGACTTTAGAATTCCTTGGGCTGAAATAGGGGGTCTGAACGAGAAATGGTCGCATCGAGAGTCTGGATGGAGAAATGTTAAACCTGGCTCCATGATCCCAAACGAGAGCCGTTTCCCAGTCCTCTCGCCTCACCTCCGGCAAAACTCAGTCCCCACTTGGGAACACACTTTCCAAAGGCTCCCTTTTAAACTGAAACAAAGGCAGTGTCTTTCTCCACAAAGGCGGCTTCTTTCGCATCGATTTGAAGGCACTCTACTTTTTAACGAAGGCCATCCGGACACGAGTACCATATTGTGCCGCGCTGGAGAAATCGAGGCGCGCAGGGCAGCTGGATTGTTTGTTCAACCTGTCTAAAATTAAGCTGACCCATTCAAGCTACCCTCTAAGCGCAAGAATTCGGTTTAGGCACAGCCCCCGTGCATTTCAAAGCTTGTGTGTGTGTGTGAGTGAAAAGATCTAGCTTAGCACTGTTTCCCTCTGCATGATTTTCCTCTCTGTTTCATTAAGTGAATCACCTCTTTGGCACGGATCTTCATGCATGCTCTTCTGTAGTGTTGCATTGCACGTGATTCGTACGGGTAATAATGCACTAGACATAGTAGCTGCAGTGTGTGGACAGAATATGATGTACCTGACCCATACAAATCTGCGGTTTGTGTATTTTTGCGCCGCTGTGCTCGGACTCCATCTGGAACTGGGACTGTCCACTTGGTGGAATGGCTGGTCTGAGAACCTGAAAGACGTGATTGTCCGTAATAAAAGAGAACAAGAAATAAAGACCCCCACTGCTTCTGAAGTCTTACTGCTGGTCGCGTTGTTTATCTGCCGCAGTTCTCTTCTGCCACTCTGGGAGGGGGCGGGCTTGGGGTGTTGAACAAGATGTCACCGTTGGTAAAGAGTAGAAGCATAGAGCTGGAAGGGACCCCGAGGGTCCTCTAGTCCATCCCCTTGCACAATGCAGGGAAGTCACCGCTTCTAACCCCCTGCCCCTGGTGTGACTCCTGCTCTGTGCCCCAGAGGAAGCCAAAAAACCTCCAGGATCCCTAGGTCAATCCAGCCTGGAGGAAAAATTCCTTCCTTCCTGACCCCAAAGTGGCAATCAGCATGTCCCTGGACCGCAAGAAATAAGCACGGATGCAACCCTTCCTGTCCATCTCACAATCTGTCTAAATTCATTGCTGTCAGATGGCCACCTAGCCGCTGCTTAGAAACCTCCAAAGGAGAGCCCACCACCTCCAGAGGAAGCCTCTTCCACGAAGGAACTGCCCTAACTGACAAGAAATTCTTCCTGATGTTTAGCCAAGACCCCTTGATTTGATTTCAACCCATTTGTTCCGGGGCAACAGAAAACAACTCTGCTCAAGTATCCTGAATTAGTTTCATTTGTACTCTTCCTTTCTCCCCATGGGGGCCCAAAGCAGCTCCTCTCCTCCATTTTATTTATTTATCCTCACAACTACCCTGTGAGGTGGGCCAGGCTAAATATTACTTGCACAAGGCCACCCCAACAAAATTCCACGGCAGAGCAGGGATTTGAACTGGGAGTCTCCCAGATATGCAGTCCAGCGCTCCCTTTAAGCTGTGGAGTCTTCTGAGCCGAAATTCTACTTCGTGACCTACTGGCATGAAAGCAAGCGATTTGGCTACTGCATCAATCAGTTTGCTCTGTAGCCCTCCTTCCCGAGCTAAGGCCAAAATGTGTGAGCCGAAGGCTAAAAAACGGTGAGCTTAGCTCACTCTAACTCAGCTTAGGGGGAACACTGGTCTCAGTGCTCCCTCTAAGCTGTGGAGTCTTGTGAGCCGAAATTCTACTTTGTGAGCTACCGGCATGAAAGTTGTGCTAGCAATTTGGCTACTGCAGAAATTAGTTTGCTTTTGGAGCCATCTTTCCTGAGCTAAGACAAAAATGTGTGAGCCGGCGGCTGCGAGGTACCTCATACTAACTGAGCTTAGAAGGAACACTGCTGATCTTCTTCGTGGTCTCTGTGCTTCACACCAATGGGTTTAGTGCGCCTGCGCTGACCCGACCGGTGCTGTAGCAAGCTATGTTTCAAAGGATTTTCGCGCGAATCCCACTGAGCATGCGCAGGAACCCCAGCGCGCATGCCCAGAGGGACGGGCGCGGAGATCCCGCCAGTTTCTCTCTCTACCGCCGCGTTGAAAGGACCTTTTTGCCTTTCCTCCTGACCGGATAGCTGTTACTGCCTTCGGGCCTTTACCTTATTCTTTTGTTTTTTAGGATCATCCTCCGTTTTATTTTCCTTACTTCAGTTTTCTTAAAAAAAAAAAAAAAGAAGAAGAAGAAGAAAAACGAGAACTTTTGTTTTTCTGAGGGGAATCTCCTCAGGCCTTCGGGCCTTCCCCCCCCCCCCTTCCCTCTT